AAATAACATCCAAGAAGAGCCAAAACAATACTGAAAAAAGATAAGGAGCATTTTCCCTCTTAGATGTTGAAACTTACTATAAGGTTTAATATTCTGTGGCCCAGCAATTCATTCCTCTTGTATGTATGCAGCCTTCTGTCCCTACTGTTTATGGATTCATAAATTTACAGTCATATATATGGACTCAGTGGACATGCATTAAATTGATCATTATGATTGCTTTAAGAAAGCGGAGGAGAATGGGATTAACAGTGGAATTTCAACTTTTTTATTAATGTTTAATTTTTGGAATATATTTGATACAGAAATGACAAAGGTGAATTTTTGAGCAGTGGTTATATTGGATATTAATTATTCTGTGAATATTTCTGAATGTTTTAAACTTGTCAAAATAGAAACAAAAAGTCTGTATTTATATTCACCATTTGCTGGGCTTTTGTTTTTTATTTATTTATTTGAGACACTGTCTTGCTCTTTTACCTGGGCTAGAGTGCAGTAGCATCATCATAACTCACGGCAACCTCAAACTCCTGGGCTGGGATTATAGGCGCATGCCATCACACCTGGCTAATTTTTCTATTTTTTGTAGAGACGGGGTCTTGCTTTTGCTCAGGCTGGTCTTAAACTCCTGGCCTCAAACAATCCTCCCGCCTTGGCCTCCCAAAGTGCTAGGATTATAGGCGTGAACCACCATAGCTGGCCCACCTTGCTTTAGATATTAGTCAGTTGTCATTATTAAATATAAGTATGAAGTGGCCCCTGGGCCAGGATAAGTTTATTGTGGATATGTTTACAGAGTTTATATCTCAAAGGATATATAGATATTCAGGGTATCTCCACCTCTTGGGCATGGAGAACAATGCTATAGAAAAAGAGGTAGAAGCTTGCCCCCAGGAAAGCCTCAAGTAAGGACAATGAAGGACACAGGATAATGGTGGAATGCAAGCAAAATGCATTTTTTTAATGGTAAAGTCACAAACAATAGAAACTGCTTTTAGAGTAAGCCGATTCAGTTTGCTTTCTTATTCCTCATTTTGACTTCTGCAGTACTCAGTATTCTAGTTTTTGAGACACCACTATACTGCCCTGGGTTGGCTGCCTTTCAGGTTGTTCCTCTTATTTCGTTGCCGTTTCAAGCTCTGTATCCAGCCTGAGCTTTCTACCACTCAGCTCTGTTCTGTGGTGCATCACCTAAAACTCAACAACCCAACTTTTCCATCCCTCCAGGCTTCTTTTGTCAGCAGTATCACCCTTCCCTTTATGTGGAAACTGAGTCATCCTGCTAGGTTCTATTGACAGCTGGCAGCATGACTATCTTGTTCACCACTTGGGGCCTATGGTAGTGCTCAGTACACATAGTAGGTTGTGAATACCAAGTCCTTGAAAGAGTGAATCCTTGCCTCAATTTCTCTCCCTAACACTCTAAATCCTATCACTTCTACTTTCATTTCTGCCCCTCCTTTTCTGGTTCCATTAGAAAAGGACTAATCCTATCAGTTCTGCCCTTTGTTTCTGCTCTAATAATTTTGTCAAGATAATTTTTTTGAAGCACAATGCTCACGAGAATGGGGAAAGTCAGTTCAATTTGAATCAGCTCTTGGTGGTCCTGTTAAAACCGTTGGAAGCAAATTACCAGTTTATTTGCTCCCAATGTCTGACCACTGCTTATTCTGTCCAAAACCCAAATTCCCCTGCTTGGCATTTAAGGAGACTCGCAGTTCTTTTTTTTTTTTT